TTAACATAGCTAAAGTTATATAATGAAGACTGATAGAGTATTTTCATTATATTAATGAGAGTAATAAAAATATTATTGAGTAAAGAAAAACATAATTCAAAACTCATTGAATAACAGGAAAGTGTTTACATATAAAATTAATGGTTTGAATATTTCAAACTGTTGAAACAAAATGTATTATTTTTTTTAAAACGTCTAATTTTGTTTAAATAATTAATTATTATTTTTATAAAAAAAAATATATGATGAATCAATATGTATTAATATTAAAACACTATGACATAATAGATAATATTTTATTTGATATGATATTATATTATATTGATATTCATACTTCTTTTATATTTATTATAAGACACAACTTAAAAGAAAATGATTGTACTTTTTATAAAGTATTTTATAATTTTTATGAATATTATTTTATTTTTTATTATAAATGTGAGAATATGTGTTTGTTATTAGATAATGAGAAAATAATTACATAAGTTGTAAAATGAAAAGAGAAAACAAAGATATTAAAAATGTGTTGATAAAGACTAAAACATTTAAAATAAATAAGCTTATATCGAAACTAAACAAGTGAATATATGAAGCAAAAAGGTGAAAATTTTATAACTATATATAAGAACCAAAATGTAGAAACAGTTTTTGTTATTTTCTTATTTTATTTCTCATTCCAATACCAAAAAAAAGGACGAAAATAAAGTCCAATAAGGCAGAGGTGTATGAAAGCCCATGAAGGTAGACCCAAAAAGGAAAGCCCATGAAAGAAAGAGAGAAGAAGAAGGAGCGTGGCAATAAAAATAAAAGGGTATGGTGTTAGCGGGAATCGTTTGAATGAAAAAGCCGCGAAAAGAAGAAGGGTCTTGAACGAATCTTGGGAATGAGGTGGAGTTTAGGTTCAGTGAGGGTGGCGTGCATGATGATGATGATGATGGTAGTGTTGCTGGGAAACGGCGTTAGCGTGAGTTGCATACCGAGAAGAGAGTTGGATTCGATGCTTGACACCGTACGCGCGAGAGGCTACGACCTATTCTGCAACGCAATCGTCACCTCTGATCTCCAAATTCAACTTGCCGACAACAACAACAACTCCCACTCCTTCACGTTTTTCGCACCCACCGACGCCTCCCTCTTCGCGCTCGACATGACTCAAACGGCCTCGTCTTACACCGACACGCTCCGTCTCCACGTCGTCCCTCGCCGCCTCTCCCTCACGCACCTCCGCCTCCTCCCCGACGGCTACACGCTTCCCACGCTCCTCCCTCGCCGCCGCCTCCAACTCACGCGCCGCTCTCCCTCCGCCATCGTCGTCGGAGGCGTCCACGTCGCTTCCCCCGGCCTCTTTTACGGCCGCAACATCGCCGTCCACGGCCTTGCAGGAATTCTCAGTCTCAGATCTAACAATTCTCCTTCGCCTTCGCCGATTCGCTCCTTCGATAACCGCTTCTTCTCTCCGAGAAGCAGTCCTAACTCGCCGGCGAATGAACCGGTTCTTGCTCCGTTCAGCATCATGAAGCAGGCAGGTTCTCCAACTCCGGCAGCGGTGGAGGCTCCAAAAGAGGAACCTGGTTGGACGGTTTATCCTCCGTCGGAGAGATATCCTGAGTCATCAATATCACTGCCACCGGAGGGATACTCCGATGCGGAGGCTCCGGCGCCTGAGGGCGTGAGAAAGTGTCTGAATCGAGATGTAGGATTGGAAGAGTCTGTGATGCAGTGCTATGAAGCATAAAGTAGGTTGGATATGGAAGTTTGTTGTTTGTTGTAGCATATCCACTTTGCTCAAGCAAATGAATAGAAATGTATATTTGATAGGTAAAACTTTGATTTGTTTTCTCCATTGGCAACGAATATTACTAACAAAAATATGCATGTACGGACACATATACAGTTAGTGAGTAAAAGAGAAAGAAAAGAGAATTATAGGCATAACCGTAGCATTTTCATGTTTCATACTATTATCTGCCCCAACTCACTGAATTCATTCTAATTGCTTTCTTGGATATGAGAGGGAGAAATCGGGAGTTTGGAAGCATGCTGGTGCAGATTCTTTACTCTTTCCAAGCATCTCGTTTATTTTGGACCCACAACAGGTATGTACAACGGGTATGCAATCAACAGTTGACTAAAACTTGAATATTTTGTCAACGTTATAGATATTTACCCGGAGAATAAATACAGAGAAATTTTTTTTTGGTAAAACTCGAGTAAACTTCTTTTTTTTTTCTTGCAGAAGAGAAAATTATGACCAATAATAAATTATTCCATGTACTACTATTACATTCAAGTAATACTAAAATTATTTATCATTTTCCGTTCAACCAAATAATCAATGGGAATTTCTTTTTTCTGTATTTTATTATCATTTAAATACCAAGACATTAATATATAATTATTAGTGATAAGAAATTTATGAATAAATGTCTTTCTGGGTGCAAATATATGCTTGTGCGTATGCATATATATTTTATTAGTTGGATTTGATCCGATTTAATAAAATATACATTTATATATTTTTTTAAGTCTAAATGATTTATTTTCAAATTATGTAATTCACAACTAAATTTTTATTGAATTGTATCATTTTATGAACACGCCTAATGAAATTAAATGGGAATGTGCTATATTTGTCCTTTTTTAATGGGTCAAACGGTTTGCGAAAACATAAAAAAAAAAAAAAAATATTAAACAAAATAATTTAAATGTATAATCAATATATATCGTCTAATGTTTAGTTCATTTTAGTCTTTTGACAAAAGTTTCTAACAACTAGTCTTGTATATTTTGCAATTGAACCATTTGGTTTCAACTTTAACTTAAACACCCATTTCACATAAATTGATTACTTTGTAATTAGAGGATCTTCAAAATTTATCTTTATAACACTAATTTCTTCATACATAGCATCCTTTCACTCTTCTTATTTAGAGCCTGCTCTTAATTTGTTAGTTTTAAATCTGCCATGAAAACTAAATGCACTAGCTCACCATCAGACGAAATGACATCATTTGGAAATAATTCATGATCTATAAGTCTATTTGATAGGAATCTCAACCTCTCAATTTTCTCTCTTGTTGTTGCACAATAGGAATTGTAGTATTAAGTTCAAATTGTTTACCCCCTTCAAGTTCAAGTTGAACATTGGTGCCTAAGTCTGATTTATTCTCCCAACTCCATGATGCTATCTCATCCACAATAACATTTTAGCTTATAATAACTTTTCTTTGACTTGGATTGTATAACTTGTACGATCTTGTTGGGTGATACCCAACTAACATAAATGCTTTATTTTTGTCATCTAGATTTCTCTTTTTCTCATTGGAGATGTGTTTGTAACATAAGGAACCAAAAACTCTCAAATGATTATATGCTTGTAATATAAGGAACAAAAAATTCTCAAATGATTAACACTCGGTTTATGTCCGCTCCATGCTTCCTCGAGAGTCACTATCCTCATTGTCCTTATAGGACATTCGTTCAACATATATGATGTAGTAGATACTGCCTCTTCCTAATAGCAAGTAGACATTCTCTTTCCTTTCAACATACACTTTGTCATATCAAGCAAAGTTTTACTCCGTCTTTAAGTCAATCCATTATGTTGAAGGGTATAGGGAGCATTCATCTCATGTTGAATACCCTTCCTTTGGCAAAAATTGTGAAACTTCTTAGAGTTATATTTTCCACCTCCATCAATTTTAAAATTTTCAATTCATGGCCACTTTGTCTCTCAACTAATGCACAAAACTTCACAAATACAGAAAACACACAAGTATTTTCTTTAATTAAATACAACCACACCTTTCTAGTAAATTCATCCACAAAAGTCATGAAATATTTATTACCTCCCAATGATGGAGTCTCAATCGGGCCACATATATCTGAATGGATCACTTCTAATGATTGTCTTGCACGAGAAGGTTCATAAGACTTTAAAACTTTCCTCGATTGTTTACTTATAAGACACCCTTCACAAATCTATTTTGATGGTTTTATGGAAGGCATCCTAATCATCACTTGTTTCTCTTTAAGATGATTAAAACTTTTGAAATTCAAGTGCCCCAATTTGTAATGTCATAGCCACTTACCATTCTTGGTATTTGTGGTTAACAAACATTGTACCTTTGTTGCATTCAGATTCACTTTAAAGGTTCTATTCTTGGACAAAAGAGTTATCAACATCAATCTTTATTTCAAATCAAATATCTCTATATGATTTTCCTTTATACTCATTGATAAACCCTTTTTCTAGCAACTATCTCAAACTAAGTAAACTAGTATTCGTTTATGATACATACAAACATCAGTCATATATGTAGTTTCTATCATTCCTCTTGATCACAATCTTTCCCATTCCTTCTTTAATGGAATTGTTATATGCAAAATTCACCTTATTATCTACTCAATTTTCATTCTTTGTTATCTGTTACGAGTGTGTACATGTCATCCATAACAAATTGGAATAAGTCATGTATAATACACAAGTGAGTGAATAAAATTTTTTTTACTCAATTTTTACTCCTTGTTATTTGTTACAAGTGTATGTGTATTATGCATGCCAACCCAACAAAAATAAGACGTTTTCTAAACTAAGAAAATTTACAGTAAAAAAAATGAAAATAAAAAAGTAATTCATTTTTTATTTATGGCCGAGAACATAATTTGTTTTATGTTACAACGAGTCCTATTATTTAGCTCCAATTTCATATCCTTTTTGTAGAAGGAACAAAGTAAATCAAAATCCTTATCAATAAATGACTAGTTAAGGATACGTTTGGTTTTAAAAAATATTTTCTATTTTCATTTTAAAAATTTAAAATCTAGAAAATATGTTTGGTTTAATCATTTTCAATAAAAGTTCATTTATAACAAAATTTATAAATAAATAAAAAACAAAACTTTTAATGAGTTAAATTATTAACAAAATAAAAAGATTATAAAGATAATGATACAATGGTTCAATTTAATTATGATTAAAATAAAGAGATAAAAACAATAATTTGAATTCTATAAAAGAAGTAATTTTAAGCGGTGAAAAAAGAGTTGACAGAGAGAAAAAGAATCCAATAATTACTTTGACACCATCATGTTTTCGATTAAAAATGATTTTATCTCCAACATTTTTAAAATTTTATTTACAACATTTTTTAAAAACGTTTTCACATAAAATATTTTCTAAAATTAAAGATAAACACATTTATAAGTTTATGTTCTCTTTTCTTTTAAAAATAAAAATAGAAAACAGTGGAATTTAAAAATAAAAATAAAAAAGTGAAATAAGGCGACCCTAAGTAACTTGCCCAATGACGGTAAGTGCCCAACACGTAAACTTGTGGTTTAAATATAGAAAGCATGACGGTGAATCGGTGATATTGGCTCCAAAAAAAAAGGGGAAAAACATTGATGTTGATATTAATTAATTGAATGATAATTAATAAAGGAAAAACTAATGAAAAAGCTAAAAAGAAAAAAAGAAAAGAAAAACGTAAATATAGTAAGCGATGGACAGTTTTAAAGGCTATAAAAAGATGATAATTGGCTGTGTTTTGATTCCCCAATTCTCTCAGAATGGCATGCGAAAACAAGAAGCGAAAGCATACCATGTTCTCCCTGACAGAGATCGAAGCGGCGAGGCTGCTCATACAACTTGGGAATAGCAACGCAGATTCTAGCACCACCTGCGTCGACAATGATCACCATAGCTTTGACAGCTACAGTGTGCAATGGAAATCACAACGGAACAACGATCATACTTGTGCTGCAGTAGAGGATGTATTGGCGGAAATAGAAGAGGATGAGCGCTTAAGGAGAACAAATAACAGGTACCGCTACATTCATGATTTATATAACGCTACACACCCTCTAGTCTATGTACATGCCTCTAAAGACCAAAGGAACAACTTTATTCACCGACATTAATATCGATCATCACTGACTTCAATACGACTGTATATAATCTTCGATGCTTTAGAATGGCTCCAAGTTTCTCTGCCCGATAAGTAAGTTCTGGAAATTTGTAGGTCTTGACAGAAATATTGTATTTGAATTTCGACACAGTATATATCCTATGTTTTATTAAACAAATTTTCAATATAGGTCCGGGAAATCCTTCTTAATCAGAAGATGAATTAGTTTATGTTACGGCAACGAATCATGTGAGTGTCAAATTGAGAATTGAGAAGTTAATTTAGAAAATTTAACTTTTGACTGTATTATTGTTATTATTTTAACCACGGATTTATTCAAACAGTACAAAGAACGCGGGTACACGCGCTTCAAAGGTTATCACTAATTTGTAGTGTGTCAAGATACATTGTACTGGTCTACACACTACGCGCTTGTCGACGATCATTAACGTACAAGTAATCCCCACCATCGCCATGGATTCCACGCCAGTCGCAAGCTTGTATTTTATTGCTAGGTAGGGCAACACTAACATTGGTTCATAATCATGTTTACCAAATCACATTGTTTCTGTTCGTACAAATAAGGATATTACAGCAACACATTCAAGCAAGAAAGTCAAGTCGAAAAAAGATTAAGACAGCTTCCATTTCCATATTGTTACACTAGGAATTTGGGATCCAAAATCCAACTATAATGACATTGAGCATGGTTGGATTATATTACTTTTGAAAATAATCTAATTATTAGAAGATAAATTAGTTATATACAAAACTAAGTATTTTAAAACTTTTCACTTAACATATCTAAAGATAAAATTTACTTCATATGATCTATTTAACAATAGTCAATTATATCTAACGTTGGCAGAAGCGCTATGCTTTAGGTGGAACATCGGGTGTGCACAGGACATACAATTATGAAGGCTGTGTTTGAGAGTGACTGCAAAAATGTTCATGATGCATGGATGCGGATCAACAGAAATTCAAGGTGTTACAGGCAAAGAGTCATGGATGATTGTCAGCATATATGGAACAACTATGATTTTGATATACATTTTACAATAAGAGCTGGCAATGTTTTAGCTGATAAACTTGCTAAACTAGCTTTTATTTTTCATGTTTTTTGTTCGATAGAAGTGCCACACTCGGTATTGTCTATATAGGAATTTGATATACAGGCTTTAGCCTCACGATCTGAATAATACTAATTTTAACTCCTTTCTCAAAAAAAATCAATTATAATCCATTATTGAAATAATATCTGAAAATAATCTAATCCAAACACTCTTAATAATTATGGCAATGTCCTACAAACAAAAATAAGACAAATGACAAAATATTCAGTAGACTCAAATATACATACATTTCTCCCCAAAAGGAAGTCTAATATGCAAATATGTAACTGTTCCACTATCATATGAGACTGAGAGAGGCATGTTGAATAACTACCAAGTGAGATGCAAATTTCACCAATCAGTGCTAAAGTTCAAACACATACAGGTCGGTTACAAAATTATCGACAGGATATATGCACTTTCATGCACCTTCAAGAACATAGAACATATTATTGTTCAATTTGAGAAAAAGGATATTAGAAAATAAAAATTCTAATTCCGTTATAATTAAAAGGCTTCAATGCTCAAGATGGAAGACATATTCTGTCAATCGCTGCAATTTACTGTGATCAAGTTTCTGCTCCGTCACAACAGGTTGCTTCTTCACAATAAGCATCTGAGAGGCAGGGTCTACAGTCCAGCCTTGCTGTAGTACATCTAAATTATACAATCACAAATGTCAATAATAATAACAAAGAGAGGAGATAGTTGATAGAACTTAATCCTTAGCCAGACAGAACAATACTACAAGGGAAGATGCAATTTTATAGATAGGTCAGTGTTTATGATATGCAAATTGTCATGATCACCCTTAGCAGCCGATTCTCAATACAAGTACAAAAATGTAATCAATATCCAACTTTTAAGGATTCTAGGATACGGAAAATTACTTACAATTTGTAGCATCATCCTCATTCATTCCCAGAAATAAAGCTGTGTCATTAATGCTTATTGTAGAATAAGCAGAGAGAAGCAGCTGAAACATCTCCTTTGTGTAAAGTTCTGGAAACAGTTTATTGGTATTAGCATTTTCACTGTACTAAACATCTTCAAATAAAATATAAATGCAAAGGACTTGTAAACTCAATCTATTTGGAAGCAACGCATGACCAAAAAACCTATTTAATTGAACAATTACAGAAGTTTAGGGTTTAGGGTTTAGGGTTTAGGGTTTAGGGTTTAGGAACACCAATGGGAAACATTTTTAATCACCAATATTCCAAGTTTAAAAAACTATAATACATTTTGTTCTCATTTAACTAATTCTAAGGTGATATTGTTTTCATTCATTACGGTAACCATTGCAAAAATGACATTACATATAGTACTACAAAAAACTAATAATGCTTGATACAAATTAGTTGATCAACACATCCATGCTTCACCGATTCTCACACAGAAATTACTGAATTACTTTCAGCATAACATACAGTGTATAATTAACATTCAACAAGGTAACATGTAACAGGTTATGATAAGAGTAGGAGCAACATTTTGATAAAGCAAGAGTCTAGGATAACTCTTGCCTGAAAAAGAGGCAACTATGCCTTGGAGATCCTGACTCCAATCATAGCCACGGATTGCTTCATGCACTCCAGCATAGTCACGTAACCACAGCTTCTGTCCAATTTTCCAAGCGGCGGTGACTTCGGGCTGGCTTTCTTTGATTGAGGAAGGAATTGATTTCCAAAGAAACCGCGCACTATTGCTGCAAAATCACAACAGCACTTTCAAATTCATGTATATAAATTAAAACCAAAATCAATTGTAAAACAGGAATTATTTATTTCAGTACCAACAAGTGAGTAAAGTAATATTCATTTCATTGACATATACAACAATGTAAAGCGGGAAAATGAAAAGATAGATACATGTCGTGAATATAAATGTGAGAGAGGAGGTGAATGGCGTAGGGCCAATCGTCTTGATAAGCAATGCCTTCAGCTGCAACCTGAGTTAGGATTCATGAATTGAAGTAAGACACAAACCCTAAGATAATGGAAAAAGGAAACACAATCAAATAAATAGCAACCTGAAGCATCAAGTTGTCGCACACATCCGCAATCTTCTCGTATGACTTCGAATCCAACGCTGCTCTCACCGCAGAGAAATCCATCACTCTACTCTCCGATCAAATCCCTATCACTGTAGCAGCAAAACCAAAAAAAAAAAAAAACCCTAAACCAAACGCTAACCTTGAAATTCAGAAAAGCTAATAGTTCTTTTACGCAAACAAACAACGCATTAACAAAGCCATACCTCAATTCGAATCCACGAGATGTCAAAGTGAAAATCAGCTGAAACTTCTCCAGCCAAGATTTAATATATACATAAGCTAACGACGTCGTTCTTAAACATTTAGTTAGTGTGACTGTCCGAAAGTGTGTGTGTGCTCTTTTTTTTGGGTCCAGCCCAATTAAGTGCGTGTATGTGAGGCCCACCAGCCCAACCCAATTTTGTTCATACATCATACACGTACTGCGTATTATTATTATCCTTTCTAAGAGCCTCACTCCCAAAACATCCAACGTAGGTTCAATTTTATTAATATTAACTCTAAATATAAAGCTTTTGAAAATAAAAGCAAAAAATATTAAATTAAATGGTTTTAATGTTTATGATTTAATAAAAATTATTTTTAATTGTTAAAACTGATTTTAACAAAATTATTTTATTTTAAGCATTTTTTGAAAATTAATTTAGAAACAAAACTATAATGCCAAATGGTTGTTTTTATCTTGCATTTTGAAAAAAATTACAATGTCTATAAAAACAACTAGTGAATTTACGCATTTATTTTTTAAGGTATCGCTCCAAAAAATCCTAAATTCGTCCTCAATTAAAATGTATCTCGGATGTATTGTTGAGTTCTTATCTCCAAAGAATAATTAGAATGTTCAGCTCTAAAACTATTCTAGGTGGATGCAATGGAAATGGATACTGAAATTTAAGGTAGAATTCGGTCGTCTGTGTTAGTACAATGTTAAATTGTTAAATCAATACTCAATGTTAAATTGTTAAATTTTTTTTATAGGAAAGCCATATTCCATTTTTTTTATGTGTCGCTTTTTATATTCTATCATTTTTTGAAAAATAATTTAAATATTAAACGTTGGAACATATTCATTCATAAAATTTACCAATTGTAATTAATAAGTTGAGTTAAAAATAGTATCAAATATTACCTTGATTGAAATCGAATTCAGTTAACCTGTCTTGATCTCTTATTTTCTTTGTTCAATTAAATTGAATAACAAAGGGCAAACTATAACACGGGTATGAACAACATTGAGAAGAGAAGGGAATTTGGATTTGAAATGGATTCGACGGGAAATAATTATCGTGCGTTTAAAAAAATAATCCTGATTTAATATTTTAAATAACTATGGTTTTAAATATAAATGGAAAACATAAATTTCATTGGTTATGTACTAGTATATTATAGTAAATGAAAATTTCCCTACTAAATGTAACAAAAAGAGATGACATAACTTCATTAAATAAGAATTCATACAACTAATGACTAAAAAATGAACTACAGTATACCAAAATCCTTGCATTTATGAGGGTAACATTAAATTTCTATTACTATACTATTATCCAGTATCTCATAATTGTAATTGTTGAAATGCTAACCAAAATAGAAGTATTTATATGCTGATGCACTCTGGTATAATATCCCAAAATCCACGAATGGAAGACAGCACGTTAATCAAGAATTGTTTAGTTTCCTCAAAAGGGCGCTTCGTGTTCAATTTAAATTTTAGAGCCGAAAATTTAAAAATAATTCACATGTAACAGATCTACTTACATGAAATTTCAATAATCAAATGATGAAATGAGCAAAACTTCTCATGCACTTTTCAAAAGCAAAATAAAGCTGAGGGAGAAAAAGGTTGGAAAGAGGAGAGAACGAACAAATTAAGAAAAACCCATCAGGATACCTCACCCACTCATCGGATGTACTTTACAGTTTACACGTTGTTCCGCAGAGTTTTGTCTTCCAAGTGAAGTAACCTATTCAAAAAATTTCTGCAAAACTCTTTGAGAAAATGTTAAATTCCCTAATTTCATATCCTTTGCAAAACCTTTTTCCTCGACTTTGCAGTTTATCAATTTGTCGTAACTCCTCCAATAAGCATTCTAAATTCCGTCTAACAACCCCACCCAAATTTCTCTCACTCCTTTCGCTCCTCGTTTCTTCCTTAAATTAGTCGAAGAAACGAGAGTCAAGTGAGAAAATGAGTGGAATATAAGGACATTGATACTGCCAACAAGAATGATATCATCAAACACTCAATCCATCAAACCCACACTGCTTGTAAGTCAGGGATTGCTTTCTTGGACTGATCACTATTGCACAATCCACCGAAACCTGTGTAATTGAGTTCATGTCGTTAATCTATTGCTAAAAGTAAAACAGGTTAACGAAAATCTTGTTACTATAACGTAAGGGAGATAAACATAACGTAATAGGAAGTTGGAGTAATTATACGAGGACCACAACACAGTTCTATTGCTTACAGTACAAAAAAAACAAGGGAGGGAGTTAAAATGTTCACACTAGCAGAATGTGAACACGGAATAATGATTCCATTCGCACCCATGTGCCGCACAAACAGCATAGTCACATGATAAAGACTTTTTTTGGCCTCGAAAGAAAAATAATGTGGCGGTAGCGATTGAAATACGTAAACTTCGTTTTTGATCTATATTGGAACTTTGAATCGTAAAGTTAAACGACAAGAGCATATCAAAACTTGCATAGTTAGTTAATCTGACAAACAAGCCTCACACTAAAGTCAGTCCTCCTCCTTAAGTTTTTTTTTTTTTTTTTTTTTTTTTTTTTTTTT